TCCCTCGAGAAATGACTGTTGCATGCTCCACTCCCAAACAGCAACAAAAAGCTGATGTGTGTCCCCACCCGTGATGTAACGAGGGCAGGGAACAACACAACGTCTATAATATTGCTTTGCTCGCCATAATGATAGATAGTGATATATATATTGGGCTTGACAAACAACAATAAATAGACAAGGACAGAATCACAGAGAGCGCTTGCTGAAGACTACAGAAGCTGTCGCGGTCTGTTTTCAAGGGTGATTTATAGTTTCCTGGTCTATGACGTCACCCATGACGTATCGGGCTTCCATTGGACTGATTTTACACATGCTTCATGACGCAATCACGCAGAGCGTTCCCACCGCGTCTCAAACGCAGCTCGAAGTTCCCTTGAAAGGGAACCCTGTGTTCTCCCTCACTCCTTGTCGGTTCTCGTTGATGTGTAACGTGTGTTTGTGGTCCCAAAGTCTTGTATCTGTTTAAGTTTGGTTTTCTTGGTAAAGATTATTGAATTTGATCTGCTGACTGCTGCCTCTCCTTCAACCTGCACCACACCCGTAACAGAAGAACCGACCATAACATCGATGGATGCAGCAGTCCAAATCCTTCTCCTGTCCCAGGAGGATCAGTCCCTCGAGGCCCACACACAGAGGTATTTGGACTTGGTACCTCTAGTTCATTTTGATGACACCAGCCTCTGTGTGTTCTTCTGGGCAGGCCTCAACGCTGAGACCAAAGCATGCCTGCCCGGAGATGGGCCTCGGGGGAACTTCGCTGCCTTTGTTGAGTGGGTATTGGCGAGCTGTGGCTCTCCCTTCACCATCGGTCCAGGGGAAGAGGAGGAACTTATTGACTGGGACACAGAGCTTCCGCCACTGATCCCAGCCAGCCCAGCCAAGACCTCACCGCTGGTTCCGTCCAGCCCAGCCGACCCTTCATCGCTGGTTCCGTCCAGCCCAGCCAAGCCCTCACCGCTGGTTCCGTCCAGCCCAGTCAAGCCCGCACCGCTGGTTCCGTCCAGCCCAGCCAAGCCCGCACCGCTGGTTCCGTCCAGCCCAGCCGACCCTTCATCGCTGGTTCCGTCCAGCCCAGCCAAGCCCGCACCGCTGGTTCCGTCCAGCCCAGCCAAGCCCGCACCGCTGGTTCCGTCCAGCCCAGCCAAGCCCGCACCGCTGGTTCCGTCCAGCCCAGCCAAGCCCGCACCGCTGGTTCCGTCCAGCCCAGCCAAGCCCGCACCGCTGGTTCCGTCCAGCCCAGCCAAGCCCTCACCGCTGGTTCCGTCCAGCCCAGCCAAGCCCGCACCGCTGGTTCCGTCCAGCCCAGCCGAGCCTTCACAGCTGGTTCCGTCCAGCCCTGCCGAGCCTGAGCTTACCTGCAGCCCTGCCGAGCCTGAGCTTCCCTGCAGCCCTGCCGAGCCTGAGCTTACCTGCACGCCTGCCGAGCCTGAGCTTCCCTGCAGCCCTGCCGAGCCTGAGCTTCCCTGCAGCCCTGCCGAGCCTGAGCTTCCCTGCACGCCTGCCGAGCCTGAGCTTCCCTGCAGCCCTGCCGAGCCTGAGCTTACCTGCACGCCTGCCGAGCCTGAGCTTACCTGCACGCCTGCCGAGCCTGAGCTTACCTGCACGCCTGCCGAGCCTGAGCTTACCTGCAGCCCTGCCGAGCCTGAGCTTACCTGCAGCCCTGCCGAGCCTGAGCTTACCTGCACGCCTGCCGAGCCTGAGCTTACCTGCACGCCTGCCGAGCCTGAGCTTACCTGCACGCCTGCCGAGCCTGAGCTTACCTGCACGCCTGCCGAGCCTGAGCTTACCTGCACGCCTGCAGAGCCTGAGCTTACCTGCACGCCTGCAGAGCCTGAGCCTCCCTGCAGCCCTGCCGAGCCTGAGCTTCCCTGCACGCCTGCCGAGCCTGAGCTTACCTGCACGCCAGCCGAGCCTGAGCTTACCTGCACGCCAGCCGAGCCTGAGCTTACCTGCACGCCAGCCGAGCCTGAGCTTACCTGCACGCCTGCCGAGCCTGAGCTTACCTGCACGCCAGCCGAGCCTGAGCTTACCTGCACGCCTGCCGAGCCTGAGCTTACCTGCACGCCTGCCGAGCCTGAGCTTACCTGCACGCCAGCCGAGCCTGAGCTTACCTGCACGCCTGCCGAGCCTGAGCTTACCTGCACGCCTGCCGAGCCTGAGCTTACCTGCACGCCTGCCAAGCCTGAGCTTACCTGCACGCCTGCCGAGCCTGAGCTTACCTGCACGCCAGCCGAGCCTGAGCTTACCTGCACGCCTGCCGAGCCTGAGCTTACCTGCAGCCCTGCCGAGCCTGAGCTTCCCTGCAGCCCTGCCGAGCCTGAGCTTACCTGCACGCCTGCCGAGCCTGAGCTTACCTGCACGCCTGCCGAGCCTGAGCTTCCCTGCAGCCCTGCCGAGCCTGAGCTTACCTGCACGCCTGCCGAGCTTGAGCTTACCTGCACGCCAGCCGAGCCTGAGCTTACCTGCACGCCTGCCGAGCCTGAGCTTACCTGCACGCCTGCCGAGCCTGAGCTTACCTGCACGCCTGCCAAGCCTGAGCTTACCTGCACGCCTGCCGAGCCTGAGCTTACCTGCACGCCAGCCGAGCCTGAGCTTACCTGCACGCCTGCCGAGCCTGAGCTTACCTGCAGCCCTGCCGAGCCTGAGCTTCCCTGCAGCCCTGCCGAGCCTGAGCTTACCTGCACGCCTGCCGAGCCTGAGCTTACCTGCACGCCTGCCGAGCCTGAGCTTCCCTGCAGCCCTGCCGAGCCTGAGCTTCCCTGCACGCCTGCCGAGCCTGAGCTTACCTGCACGCCAGCCGAGCCTGAGCTTACCTGCACGCCTGCCGAGCCTGAGCTTACCTGCACGCCTGCCGAGCCTGAGCTTACCTGCACGCCTGCCGAGCCTGAGCCCGTCGCCTGCCCGCCAGAGCCTGAGCCCGTCGCCTGCCCGCCAGAGCCTGAGCCCGTCGCCTGCCCGCCAGAGCCTGAGCTTCAAGCCAGCCCTACAGAGCCTTCTCTACTGGTCCCATCCAGCCCTCCCAAGCCTGACCTGATGCACGTCCCTGAGCCTGGCACTCTCCCCAAGAAAATTTTGGGGGGGGGATATAGGCCACCTGATGGTGCGTCTCCGCCATGGCCCCCTGACCAGCTTGCTCCGCCCTGGCCACCGGAAGAGGCGTCTCCACCCTGGCCACCTGAAGGGGCGTCTCCGCCATGGCCCCCTGACCAGCTTGCTCCGCCTTGGCCACCCGAGGGGGTCTCTCCGCCCTGGCCACCGGAAGAGGCGTCTCCACCCTGGCCACCTGAAGAGGCGTCTTCACCCTGGCTATCAGCACGGCCTGCTCCGCCCTGGAGGCTTCCTGTTCCGGGAAAGCCACGCCCTCGTCAGCCTCCAGGGCGCCCACCCTCCCGCCCCTATTTGATGTTTAGACGGCGTGGGGACACGCCTTTTCGAGGAGGGGCGTAATGTTACAGTTATGTCTGTCTTGTGTCTGTATTCCTGTGTTTTCCCCCGTCATTGTGATTTGGTTTAGTCCTGTGTTAGTTTTCCCGCTCCTCGTTTGTGTTCAGTTCCTTCACCTGTGTCTAGTTAATTTGCCCCAGCTGTGTCTTGTTCCCATGATCCGTTCTCTGTGTATGTAAACCCTGTGTTCTCCCTCACTCCTTGTCGGTTCTCGTTGATGTGTAACGTGTTTTTGTGGTCCCAAAGTCTTGTATCTGTTTAAGTTTGGTTTTCTTAGTAAAGATTATTGAATTTGATCTGCTGACTGCTGCCTCTCCTTCAACCTGCACCACACCCGTAACACATATATGTTCAATTCCAGGAAAAAAATATGATTTTTAAACATAATTTATTTATTTTAATTTTTTAATTGTTGCTATTTTATGGGAAAAAATCAACAAACAAAAAAAACCCTGTTAAAATCCATCCTGCACTTGTGTTTTTTTAATATTTGTTTGTTTATTTGTTTATTTATTTTTTCCATCCATCCATCCATTTTATATTTGTCATCAGAGCTAATTCATGTCAAAAATCGAATGGGAAAATTTGTACCATAAATAATAAATAAAATATTATGTGATGGCAAACGTGTTAAAATCTGACTACCATTCGTGATTAATACTGCTTTTATTAATTTAATTTATCCTTATTTATTTATCATTTTTATTTTTGTTTATAAAATTATAAAATAATGTTTGTAAATATTTGATTTGATTTTTGACATAGCTCTTTTGTAAAAATATTTACAAAAATATTTTTATTATAAAATATTATAAAAAACAAATTGCATACAGAACAGAATGAGTTGAATAGTAACCCGCCGTCCAGCACTGGCCATGTCCATCGCCTTCACTGGGAGTGTGTTGATTCGGGGAGGAATGCCGAGAACGCTTTGCTAATTACAGATGTTCCTCATTAAAGGTTTGCATCGGCTGTAATGACTGCTGTCAGCACCTGCTCTGCATTATGACATGTTTCAGAAGCCGTTCTCCAGCTGTTCTGAGCTCAGTGGGTCCATTACACACATGGAAACTCGTCCAAAACATCTTTTGGAAGCAAAAACCAGACTGTTAAATGGTGTGTGTGTGTTTGTGTGCATAGAAATTGCACGGAGCACATACTGCTTCTCATCTAGGCTCAAGTCATGCGCAGGTTTAATTATATACTATATACACAGTTCTGCATTTTTCATTGGCATTGCACTAAAAATCATAGATGTCATAATCTAGTGTTTTCTCACAGTCCTTCCAGATCTGATGCAGCCGTTAAACATTCAGGCTCAGAAACGGACCAGTGGTTATTGATACCCCTGTGTGTCAAAAATTTCTGGAAATCTGTAATTATTATCTCCAGAAAATGATGAATTGTGGAATTCCATCCCTGAGTTGATTCTATTAGGCTTGAGATATCTTGGACAGGGTTTTCTTTCCCACTGCCTCATCCAAGGCCTCCCGTGACCCGAGTGTTAGACTGACCCGTGCTCGACCCTCTCTCTCTCTCTCTCTCTCTGCCAGGGCTTCGGGAGTGTGTCGGCCGAACACTGGCTGGGAAACGAGTTCGTTCACGTTCTGACCAATCAGAGGCAGTTCGGCCTGCGTGTGGAGCTGAGCGACTGGGACGGACACCAGGCCTTCTCCCAGTACGACAGTTTCCACATCGACAGCGAAAAACACAAATACAGGTACTATCTCTTCCTCATTATTCTTAATGCATTATGCAGTGTGTGTATAATGCATATGTGTCATTAAATGCATATGCATGTATAATGGTATACATATTTATACAGGTGATATTCGAAAAATTAGAATATCGTGCAAAAGTTCATTTATTTCAGTAATTCAACTTAAAAGGTGAAACTAATATATTATATAGACTCATTACATGCAAAGTGAGATATTTCAAGCCTTTATTTGTTATAATTTTGATGATTTTGGCTTACAGCTTATGAAAACCTTTTCACAACTAATTTTAATTTGGGGTTTTCATAAGCTGTAAGTCAAAATGATAACAAATAAAGGCTTGAAATATCTCACTTTGCATGTAATGAGTCTATATAACATATTAGTTTCACCTTTTAAGTTGAATTACTGAAATAAATGAACTTTTGCAGGATATTCTAATTTTTCGAGTTTCACCCGAAATGTGAAAAGAGTCCATTAATAAGCTGTTTATGCAACTATGAACTGCATCTGTTTATTTTGGGTAATGTTAATATTGTCGTTTAATAGATAAATTTTTGCATGATATTCAAATTTTTCGAGTATTACCTGTGTGTGTATACGTATATATATATTAGGGCTGTCAAATGATTAATCGTGATTAATCACATCCAAAATAAAAGTTTTTTTTACATAATATATGTGGGTGCATTGTGTATAATTATTTTATATATATATAAATACACACACATGCTTGTATATATTTAAGAAATATTTTCATGTATATACTGTATATAGATTTATATATAATTTATATATATATAAATATAAATATTTTATATATAAATTATATATTTTTTCTTAAATATACATGCATGTGTGTGTATTTATATATATACCAAATAATTATACACAATGCACCCACATATATTATGTAAAAAAAACTTTTATTTTGGATGTGATTAATCGTGATTAATTATTTGACAGCCCTAATATATATACATATATATTATTGTTGTTGTTGTTTTGCCAGAGCGAGTTACACATCTTGTCATTGCACTCAAAGTTAAATGTATGTTAAAGATAGGGGTTTAGCGATACACTAATGTCACGATTCATATCACGATACTGTACTCACGATACAATATTATTGCGATACTCAGACATATGATAAAAGGTTCACAAAAAATAAACTGTTTAATAAAATGGTAAATTTGGTATTATATTGTGTGTGTAAATGAATAGGTATGGACTTGGTGTTGAAACCCAAAGCACAGGACAATAGAGACTCCAGAATAACAATATTCATGATTCTGAAGCTGAAAATACTGAATTATTTTAGACGAATATGCTTGATCTGTCACTGACTAGATATATTTAAAATAATTTCGGCCACTTTTACTGGTAACATCAGATGTTTGGCATTATCAGGACACACAAATATTCCCCCATTGCATTATTATACATTATATATAGTAGTTTAATGTAATACTGACACTAAAACTCTGAAAACTTTAATTTTTATTTTGGGTGAACTATACGCAATACATATTGCCACTGTCCACGATACATATTGATGCATTTTTGTATTGCGATATATTGTGACACAATTTATTGTTACACCCCTAGTAAAACACAGATATACAAAAGATACACTTTGATTTTAGGTTTTTATACAGAGAAACGTTCAAATGTTTTGGGTTCGGTAAGATTTAAGAGTCTTCTGCTCACCAAAGCTGCATTTATTGGATAAAAAATACAGTAAAATCAGTAATATTCTGAAATATTATTACAATTTCAAATAACTATTTTCTACTGTCATATATAGTAAATTGTAATTTATTCCTGTGATCAAAGCTGAATTTTCAGCATCATTACTCCAGTCTTCAGTGTCACATGATCCTTCAGAAATCACTCTAATATGATGATCTTGAAGTCATAATATAGTGTGTGTGTGTGTGTGTGTGTATAAATATCTATTTATATAAGCCTGAAGTTCATCCGTTCATTCATAGTTTCACTCTCTATGGGATTTTTAAATGTTTTTCATGGATGAAACCATACAGAGGAATCAAGCGTTCTGCTTTAATTCTATCTGGGGTTGAATTAGGGTTAGAAAAGTCAAAGAATACGCAGAGATCAGTGTTTGTTCACTGCACTTGTAGCTCACACACACACACACACAGGCAGGTGTTCGGCTACACACACACCTCAGATGTGTGTATCTCAGCAGGCCTGCACACTTGGCCGGCCCGTATGGAGAGTTTCAGGAATCTAATCTGCATTCTCATCTCTAAAAATAGATGTGTTCTCTCGAACGGTTATGCTATGGTAATCACTCACTGCCTCTTGAGAATACTGAGCCTTTCTTTGGCCCAACACAAAGTGTGCGAGAGGTTGCTACTTCTGGAAACTCAGATTAGACCTTCAGATTCCAACCTGAGAACCTTTTTAGTTTGTGTTTATAAAAAGCACACAGTAGATGCACTATGAAGATATGCTTTATCCAGTACGGTCGCTGTTAAATCCCAGCAGCGACAGATAAATGTTTACAGCCTGATTTTCTTTATGCAAAGGAATTTTTATGCTGTTCTAATGTGGTTTGTGTTTTGGTTTAGACAGACTTTCTATTGAAGAGGAAGGTAGAGGTTAAGTTAGTTACGGGTCAAGGAACATTGTCATCATTTACATTTATAACATTTATTATCATTGATTAGATTACATTTATCTTTACATCCCTTACAGTCATTCCAGAACGGTGTGACTTTGTTGTGTGGATTTTGAATAGTTTTTATTTCAGAAACCAAGAATTGAAGTCCCCCGTAGTCAATAATTGTATCCCTTAAAACTCATCTTTGATCACCAAAATGACATATTTAAAAATGTTTTCCTTGAAAAAAAGTCATGCCTTAAAATATCTTGAATGTAACTCGACACCCTTGCCTCATTTAGTATGCGCGGTTCTATGAATATGCAAATGAGCCCCGCCTCCACTCACTCACTCAGCTCAGAGATCCACTGGTTGACGATCACACGTTGATCTGATTGGTTACGAAGTCGTTTGTGACGTCAGAAACACCAGCGATTTCAAACCGTGTTTTTGAGACTGTCTTTGGTTCACTGCAGTTTTAAGCAGAAAATACTCAGCAATGCTGTCGACTTATGAACTTACACATGGTTTGACTTAAAGCGTATTAAAAACACCACATAGACACATACACAACATTAAAAGCTGGATTTACACCACAGGGGGACTTTAATGTCTTGCATCACTTTGCTTCTCAAGTAAATGTATTGTGATTTATTAAGAATATTTAGATAACTGTACTGGAAAACAAGACACAAATACTGAGTAAGAAACTCTTTTTGCAGTTTACAATGAAACATAATGGGGTCCAAAAAAATAAATAAAACACTGACGCATCCAAAATCAAATTAAATAGTATGCAAAAAACAGTACGCCAACAGAGTATGATGTCAAAATGCATATTATTCTCAAAACAGTGAAATACAGACGGATGACCTGAAGTGTGTATATGTTGGACACTTTAATATCCCATGAGGCCACAGGAGAGGATTTGTGAATGACAGTGAAGCGACGGTAAGTCACATGACAATGACAACATGGCGGATGTACATCTGGTATATCTGGATTACATTCATACTACATAGAACGCACTTTGTTAACAATCACAAAGCACGTTTTCAACCAAATATAGTCCCTACTATATAATATGCCATTTTGGATGCAGTGTGACACTTTAAATATATATATATAGTGTTGCACAGAAGAAAGAAATCAGTTGTTTGGGAGGATATGAAGGAAAGTAAATAATCCCCTTAAAAAGCTCCAGCATATCAGGATCCAGTTCATGCATACATACTGTACATATACATATGCACACACACACACACACACACATTGGAGACATGGCTCATAAAAGCACTTTAAAATTCTGCAAGCGTGTGCATCAGGGGTCTCAAACTCAACTTAACTGGGGGCCGCTGGAGGTAGAGTCTGGGTCAGGCTGGGCCGCATCAAGTAGGCTATTCCACAAAAAATAGTATTCAAGTATTCCAAAAAAGGAGCACAACTGATCCAATCTTCTCAATCTTTATTATTAACGTTTCTTCTGAACTGTTCCTCTGAATTTGAACATTCCTTTCTGTACATGATTGGTTCTTCATGAGCTGTCCTTCTGACAGTTGAAGTTCATTTTACAAACTTTCTTTGTCTATAACACATATTTGTAATATTTATATTTGCTTATGTCCTTTTTATTTTCTTTATACAACACATTAATGATATTGAATGTTTTTTTTGGAAGGCACATTTCCTTTTATTATATACTTAGAAAAACAATTATTGCTTTTGAAATACAAATATTTGCAGTCATGTCTGCCCGTCTTATTGAATTCTTTCTACACATGTATAGTGTCTCAGGCAAATTAGGCTACTGAATTTGCACAAATCAAAGCAAACCTTCTTATCAACCTGTTGGACACATATTACAAGCTCAAAATGATTATTCTCACATTGTTTTAAAGCAGGGTCTCTCTCCAACATGTCGCTCGCAAGCTGCCAGTAGCTCGCGGCCTGATTGGTGGTAGCTCGACAAGGGGCAGTTCACATATCGCGCTCACATATTTTGCGCGCTCAAGTTCGTTATTTCAAATGTAGGTGCGCGTGCGCGGCAAGCGCGCTCATAATTGAAGCGACGCGCTCATTTTTTCCAGGCGCGCAGTATGTTTGTACTTAGCGGTTGTCTATGGCAACTATTGACAACAAACCCACCGTATGGTAGCCCATTTAAAACGCGGCACACGCAACGACGGGCCGCACTAACATTACACTTTAATGTCAAGTAAGGGGCCACAAAATATCTCCCCGCGGGCCGCAAATGGCCCGCGGGCCGCGAGTTTGAGACCCCTGGTGTGCATGAATCCACAAAGGATAATTTAGAGCTTAACATATTACGAAGCACAAGCATTTCTATTAGTCAGAACCAACATAGAGACTTTC